AAATTAACTCCAGAATGTCTTACCAAGGTTTTCTGATGCCAGGGATGCCTGGATGAGAAGCTGACAGCCATATGTCCACAGCAGCAGATGGGATTATTGTTACTGGCAGATGGGACCACTCCACTAGGCCTATTTTTATTAAACATCCAATACCTTCAGCAGCCACAAAAGAACGTGCCAACATTACTGAAACCCAGAGATTACTGCTGAGCTAAAATCCCCACAGGTAAGGTTCAGGGAGGATGCAGGGGCACCCAGCCCTCCCGGGGTAAGCTGGGCTGTGCAGGTGCACCTTCCCACCTTTGCTGTGCTTCATGGCAAAGCAGAGCACACAACGATCACAGAGCAGCCCTGCTCTGAGCACCCTGGTTTGCTCTGTCACTCGCTCACACAGGATGCTAAGGCCTGTTTTCATTCACCTAGTGCACAAGTAATTGCAACAGACACATTCCAGCTAGGGGACTTCCTTACTTCCTTGTTTCATTTGTTTCATGTTTTAAAAGAATAAGCCTGCTGGGCTCTTTGCTAGTGATTAGTATCTAAATGCTGTCTTGTAGCTACTAGTTTGAATGTCTGCTTCAATTTCATTTGTTTTTATTTATTCATTATTTACAGGCATTTACAGGCCAGATTATCAAATCACTTCCACAAAAAAAAACGCAAAACAAACAAACCAACCAACCAACAAACCAAACCAAAACAAAAAATCCCTCAAACAAACAAAAGCCAAACCAGAAAAAGCACAATGCTTGGGGAGTCTTTAGGCACAGAACAGATTCTTTTTTCAGCTCAATAACCCAAGGCAGCAGCTGCCAACGTTGTTTATATTTGTTACATTTGAAAAGCCAGTACAAGAATGAGCACAAGAACTACTGACACACAAAACCCTCAGATCTATAGCTCAGCTTTCATGTATTACACTGCAGAAACTTTTTCCCACTCACTACAAAAACAGTCATAAATTAGCTGGACAGGAATAAGTAATTAATACATTGTGGGCAAGATGCATTGGTGTGAACCTTTGTGAAAAAAAAACTGGAAAAAGCAGGAATTAAAGACAAAACATATTCAATCAAGATATGCAGAAAATCATTATCTATACTTTAACTATTAATTTTTAAAAGCCACTTGTGAGTTTGGCCATGATAAGTCACCTATTCAGTAATTCAAAGAATATTCTCTTCAGAACAGAAGTCCAAATGAAAACATCCTTTCAGCCAACTGAATTCACTTGCTTAGCAGGTGCTTTTGAAAACAAAGTTTATGTTTCTTAGGACAATTTCTAAGTCATAATTTGAAAGGCTCAGGCCTTTTCTGAAATTAACCCCACTCAGTTACTGTTTTGATAAGAGTTTTTTAATTACTAATTTGATGGTGACATTACCTCTTCTTTGGAAAGTATTTTGCGATCCCAAGTTAACATAAATAGCAGAATTTTACAGCTTCTAACTTGTCCTGTCTCAAGATTCCTCCATTACCTTCTCTTCCCCTACCCCCACTTCCCCCGTGTCCACTGAAGAACTTCAGGCAGCACCATTCCAATGGATCCCATCTGCAAATAGATATGATCCCAGCAGCACTGGCCTTCTGCCAGATTCCAGCCCCTCAATGCAGTCAGCACCCGTGACTCCAGCTCAGCTGCACAATCTCAGCTTTGAAACATGTATTAAAGACATAAAGACTGACAATTTAAGTGTAAGATGCATAACAGTAGAACAGAAAAAAAAAAAGACAAATAATATGTTCAAGTACTGATTTCAAAATTGCCATATTTTGCACCCTTCCAGAAGAAAAACGAAGTCCCAATTACTCACAGTAAGTGTCCTTAACATTATGGATCTTAGTACAAATTCTCTTTTTCTGAGATTAAGACATATCTAGAACTGTATTCAGCTGCACTGTCATTTTTAAACAGTGACAAATGATAAAAACAGACCAACTATGGATCTTGATTAAAGGTCTTGATCTCCTAGGAGGAAATGACATTAAAGCCAGATAGGATAACAAGTAAATTCTGTAGGATTGCACAAGCAAATTAGGTTGTTTTGCTTCTAAGGCAAAGAACTGTGTAACAAAATTGAGCATAAGCTTTCTAACCCAGAGGGACGTTTTGCTTTGCTGGCAAGCACCCTATGAATGACAGGCAATCCCCAAAGCCATAAACAGCCAAATTCACAGAAAAACTGTCCAACAAAAGCAGCATGTCAGGCAACAACCCTGGTGGCATTCTGACTTCAAGAACCTACTTCATTATGTATGTCAAAAACCAGTCCTTTTTCACACATTCACCTAAAGTTATTTATAAATAAAGTACACCTGTCATACACTTTATTATCTGTATCTTTATGCAGATTTCCTTAACGTAATCCCGAGCACTTTGCCTCAGTTTTGCTGTAATGCAGTAGTCTCTGCCAATGCATTTACAAAACTCAGACTTGGACAAAGTTTAAATGTAGGACCCACAAAGGATTTGCAGAATAGCTTGGTCAATCAATACATACAGAATTAAAGTTCAAGTAACTGTCAAAATCCCTTCTTAGCTATCAGACTTCACACTGTCTCATCAATCCGGTGTCACAACAGTCCATTAGGCTTTAATTCCAAGATAAGGGAACTTTAACTGCCTTGGAGGCTTAAAATAGTCACTACTCAGTGTATCACCATCCTCTCAGGTTTGCCTCCTGTCAACCTGATCAGTGCACAAGTGAAAAAACAACCTTCTCAGAGGCAAGATATCTAGACCTTGATCACTTCACTGGCACATCTGAAAGTGTGAAGCAGGAACCCCTTAGTCTAGAATTACTACTGAATTCCCTTTATTTTCAAATTGCTGCATCAGATATGAGTCTCAGATACACTAATTTCACTTTATGTGCTCAGCTTTTAGTCAGCAAGTTCAAACCTTAATAATGAGGAGCTCATAATGTAACTGTGGGCCTGCAAAAAACTGAGCACAATGAAAATGAAAGAATCTTTGGCAGTACAGCACTTATGCTCCCCAAATCTAACACATAACCTAAAAGCATACCAGCTGAAGAATTTCAGCTGGAAGTTATGTGTGTCAGACAACTTGGTTAGGAAGATTCTTTGGAGGGAAGATTTCTGCTGTTTTGTTTTTCCCCCATTAAACAATGCCTTATTCATATACTTTATTATACAATCCTCTTCTGTTCAAACTACTCCTCTGTCCATTGCTTTCTTGTATTTCTCCTCTAAGAGGGAAATACAGGGAAAAAATATCCCACAGATTGTAACAATGTTTAACTATTGCAAGTGGTGATTCCTTTCCACAGCCTGTAATGTCCTGGATGACTTAAACCCGACCATCTGTCACAGCACCCAGCTCCATCAGAGCCACAGCATTCAAACAAAAGGCTGCAGATTAGAGCACTTCAGAGTATAAAATACAGCAAAAGAAGTCATTTCTGTAAAGACATTTCCAATTAAATAAATCTGAAGTATTTTTCTCCTTTTGAAGACTGATACAGTTTCTTGGAAATGTGTCACTACAGTGCAGCTCTAGTGTTCAGAAACAGAACCAGTGTCTGGCCGGGCCACAGCCCCAGCTCAGACAAACAATCTCAAACAATCTGCCAGACACTGACTGGTCACCCTTGTTGCTTCCACAGGCTCCTGCAATTCAAGCACCTTAAGCATCTACAATTACTGCTGTGATGACTGCAGCAGGAAAAGCTGTTACAGGGTTCCCAGTGGTGCTGCTGGAGCCCAGAGCTTGGTGGCATTTCCATAGCAAATGTCCTCTAATGAAGTCTATAGTTCTTGCATTCTACACTGGGGTCCAGTGATGGGATACAAGCACCTGTTCTAATGAGATGACTTCAAACTCCTCCACCCCTACCTCAAATGGAAATTTTGAAATCCAATCACAAAAAAGCTTCTTTGGGTACTACTGCACATAACGTCTGAAGATAAGAACTTTCTGCACTAAAAAACAAGCTCTCTTCTCTATGACACCTCTCTTCCAATGAAACCATAAACACTATATCATTTAAGTGACCACAACCAGGATTTAAATTCCACTGCAGAAGCACAAGCAGGCTGACGTGCAACCTTGGCTATAAAAAAAAGGGAGAGGCCTGTATGAAACCTCCTTTGTGTTAACAGGCATGAGTAAACACTCAAGTAATCAGACAGCGAAATAACTCCGTGCTCTTGGAGTGCTGCTTTCTACAGCTGCAGACAAGATGGCTCTACTTGATTACCTGACAATGAAAAACTGCCCCAAGAAGAGCAGTTTAGGGGCAGAGCTGTTGGGCTGCAGATGAGGAGTGACACTCCCTCAAATGCTGTCAATACTGCCTTGACCTCAAGTATGAAAAACAACCAACCCAACAACCAAAAAAGGTGTGCCCACACACAGTTTCCCACAGAACAGTGCTCTCCAAATTGCACTCACAACAATTATACAGGAAGCTTAACACTTCTAATTAGTTAGAAAAGATGATTTTATGTAGTCTGTTATTTTGCTGTCGTTTAGACATCTGCTCTGGAAAGCATAAAACTTGATATCCTTTTTATCTCAGCTTTCTCATCCAAATTATGTTCTTGACCAAAAGCACATAGTGCAGAACAAGCACACCAAGAACTAAAGCACCAGATCCAAGCAGGACTTATACCCCCACAATTATCATGTGGTGGTGTGCAATGTATCCCTCTGTCTACCCACACGATATTCCCAAACACTGAAGTTCACAAAAAGATTTTCACTTTGGTACTCCAATCCTTCTGTACAATTTTCAGAGCAGCAGAAGCAAACACCATGAACAACTCCATAAAAATCAAGATACTTGTGATTTAGACTTTCTAGTCACATTCAGAGATAACCTAGTTTGTAATGACAGCCTCAGAAGAGCAGAATAACAGAAAGATTAATTGTAGATGATACAATGTACACAGTTCTCAGTCTGACAGAAGAAAATCTTTAACTCGGAAGTTTGGGAACAGCGAAAGACTCCCTTACAAGATTAAAATAAACTTACTGGTTGAATTGCCTTGCATCTGGATGATACATTTGGACTCCTTGCTGGTTTCTCGGGAATTGAAGGGCCGGACCCGAACAGCCACCTTCACTGAAGCCCCCGACATCCTGGCTGCTGGGAGCACACTCAAGGAACTGAAAGTGATCAAGAGCCTTCCAAGTTATCCTTCCTCTTGGCGTTTTCTAAGGAGAAAAATACCATTTAGTTATTTACAGCTAGTGTATTCAAGTTGTTGATAAAATTAGGGAGGTTCAAAGTTACTTCATAATGCAATTTCTGCTTTGCAGATCACCCTCCCTTACCCCCAAAAGATGTCACTTCAAAGCCAGAACTGGAAATACACTTATCAGCACCTGTTCACTGTCTCCCTAGTCAAAAGTTTCTGTCACTTGAAGCAGTTCTTTTGAAGTGTACAAATATTTGGTTTTCATACAATTTCATACATTTCTTTTCTGGAAGAAAACCAACACTTGGTTTTCTTCCAGAAAGTAAGGATGCCAATACCAAAATAAATATCTAGTTACAACATGTGTTAGGCTTAACCTAACAAAGATAATTTTAGCAGTAAGGACACAGCTACTTAAATTTCATCATGAGTCAATGACCATATACCCCACACCCAGGCTCTCACACTGCCAATCCTTGCTGCCACAAAGCTTTAGCAATAATATTAAAACTAACTCAAGTGTCATGGGCCACAGCACACTGATTTTCAATACATATGACTCCAGAGAAAAGGGTGTACCCTTAAAGAACCCCTTGCAGTCCTGGGAAAGTCCTCTTCTGGAAGGAAATAACAACTCATCAACTACTTGTATATCTACTGATTAAAGGACACACTGTAAGGAAGAGGAGGAATCAAGAATTGTTGCCTTCAGGGTAAATATTACTATTCTATGTTCAGATAAATGTCCACCATTAAATTCATCTCCATTATCAAAATACTTGTTCAAATCCTACCACATCTAAATGATGGAGCACTTTCGTTGCAGGGAACTATCCCTGACACCCACTATCTGAACTTCAGGCATGTCTGAGACAGTGTTGGAAGGCAGGGTTACAAAAGATTGGTTTGCTCGTATTGGTGTCAACCAGCCCTTTCCATCAGAGAAAGGTTTTCAGTTGGTGCACTACTGAGAAGCCCTGCCACAGGACACAGTAAGTACAGAAGTCTAACAGCCTCAAAAAGCAACAAGATTCAAAGAATAAGTCCTACTAAGAATCTCCTACCCTTGGCTAGGAAACCTTCCATGGCACAGACACAAAGAACCTGGATGACTATAGTGAGAAAACATTATTTATGTTTGATTTATCCTTATATCCTAAATATCTGCTACAGCCACTGCTGAAGAGAGGATTCAGAGCTGGACTGACCCTTGGTCTGACTCCACACAGGTATTTCTACCTGGAACCTGACTAACCCTGGGCAGAACTCAACTCTGCTCAACCATGCACCCAGGAATCCTGACATCTTCTCTGGTTATCAACATACCGTGTATCTGGTGAAATGCTCACTTCAGGGTTGTGATCACAGAAGTACAAAAATTACTAGCAGGTCTAAAGCAGAAGCATTTCAGCTCTAAAGTAAGTTCCACACTTGGTAAAAGTACTTATACTTGCTTAATTCAAGTTATGACACATTTTCCCACAGTACAAGAAGTCTTTAATAAAACTGCAGTACTTCATTAATGCCATCACATGGTGAAGGCAGAAATTAAATTACTCCCCCAAGTAGAAGCAATTTAAAGTATTCCTTATTTTCACAGGTACCTGAGGTATCTCATCAGACTAGAAGAATGTCTTTAGGAGCAAGCCAACTGAATCTCAATGTCATTGGTCCAGCAAACTGGCTGAGCAATGATTAATGACACAGCCACACCACCAGCTCGGGGTTAGTATGGAATTTCAAAAAGCTTCACTAAAATCCTGAACATAGACCAGAAAAGTTCTGGGAAGGAATCCACATGATGTTCTGGGCTGTTCTAGAGACTGCTTCTGTCCCTCCTGCTCAGAGGCGCCTACTCTTGTGAGGAACAAAGTATCAAACACACAGCTTCATTATCGACTTCTGCCCCAGAATGCGCCCCGTGGCTCCTGCTCTCCTCCCTCCCAGGCCCCCACACGAGTCCCTGAGCCCCCCAGCACAGCCAGGGCTGTTACTGAACTGACCCTGGACATGCTGTGACAACAGCAATGTCACCGCGCACGGCCACGCAGCCCCTGCAGGAAACACTGCTTAATCACGCCAGGTGCAGAACGCCCCTTTCCGTCAAGCTCATAGTGACACAGTGTACTTTGTCCCATGTGGTCTTATGATATTGTTTATGAAATGTGGGGGTTTGCCTTCCCTTCTTACTGTGGGGTCCCACAAAGAATTTTTTTCTGATGTTTTCATAAAAATACCTCTCAGAACACTGCAGATGTATCTGGGAAGCTGACAAACAGAGTGGGATGAAAGAATCATCTACTTTTATATATAAATATATATATATACATATATATGTATATGTTCTCAAGTACCTCTTATTATCATATTCACAACAAGCATGAAAATCACATTTCCAGAGACTCCATATGCACTAACTAAATGACAGACTTGAGATTCTCACAGAACAGATCACAAAATCACCTGCAACATGAAAATTTACCTGCTGGACTTCTGCAGTTACCAATTTTCCCCAACCCTAACTTTTGTGCTGACGGAAAATTAAATGTGGTATAATTTAAAATCTCTTTTGTTCTCAACTCTGCTATTTTTCATAGCTGAAGTAAGCAAAACACCTACTCGTATTTCCACATGGATTTCAGATGTTTTGAATAACAATTCACTATGCAAGATTTAATTTTCATTAGTAAGAAAACTGACCAAAACCAATATAATTTGCCAAGCTTTCCATACATTTAAGGTGTTGGGGGTTTGAGGGGCTTTTCCACTTACCAGTTATCTTAACTGGCCGTAATAATTTATAAAGGTAGCATTGCCCTCATCACACAGAATGGTAAAATAAGGGAAAATGAGCCCCAAGTCACACAGCATCACAGATAATAAACTGCAACTGGTTTTTCAGGGTTCACATTTACCAGTAGTGCCACCTCCTACTACAAAATGCTGACTACAGAGTGGAAACTTGAAAAGAGAAAACCAAAATATGCAGTTTGTGGTACAGATTTAGAAGAACAATATTCTCAAAAGATGACTTTTTTTCATGTTCACTATAGGCTCAGGAGGCTGCCATCCATGCTAGAATGAATCACCTCCCTCATGCCTTGGAAGGAATCTACTAGCTGTGTCTCTTGCAATGTTCAGTCTGCACGAATCCAAAGGGAAGGGAACTGTGTGTGTGTCTTTGAGGCCACTGGCCCCAAACAGGTGAAGATGACACCTGAGTTGTTTGGTGAGCTTCATCAGCAAAGAGCGACTCCTACATCCTAGTTTTACACCTATGTGAAACTAAAGACACCCACCCTGTAAGTCACACAGCGAGGTTTTCATATTAAAAGGTGTCATTAAAAGAAATAAACGAAATATCTTGTCTGTTTACTGGTATTCAAGCTGACAAACCCAATTGTGTTGATGAATCACCCTTCACAGGCTCAACTAGATCTGGGCTTTCACAAAAATATATGAATTAACATTAAGACTTGAATACTTGGGACATATCTGAACGTTTTGGCAAACCAGTTTTTCTGCAATGTCAAAATACAAACACATTGCTATTTATTTAAGTAAAGTTACAAGCAGAGCAGGGATTTAGATTCAAATTATTATTTATACATGCAGAGAACTCTGCAACAAGCTTGAAGTGGTTACAAAACAACGTTCAAAATCTGTATCTCAGCATTCAACAAAAAAACCCACCCAAACCCGCCACATACCACAAATAAAGAAGAATCACTTTTTATTTAAGAGAACAAGTCATATACCAGATAACTGTGTCATATCTGCATTTCACAGAATGTGCTAACTTAGAAACAAAAAAATGCCTTGTAACTTAATCAGTGCAAGAGCTCTAAAGAAATAAAACAAGGACAGAGATTAGCACAGGGAAAGTTGGCAAAACAGCTGTTAGGGGCAGCAGGCGTATCTGAACAAGGGGCCCCGCAGAGCCAATTTTAGGTGCCGCATGAAGCTCGGGCAGCGCTGACAGCGTGATCCCTCAGCTGAACTCACACACGCTCTGCGATATCTGGACCAGGTGGAGATGCCAGGTCGAACAGTGCCGCAGAACTCGGCGAGGCACCGAAACCTGATCACATGCACACATGGCTATTTACCAACACTGGATTGTGCAACAGCAAAAAGAACTGAGCTACGAAGGAGCTGGAAGCGAAGAGGAATGCCGTTCAGAATTGCGAATTCGGTACGAACGTATTTACATTCCGGAAAGCAGACATAAATCCATCGTCTGCTTCTGGCGGATTCTCCAGCGGGGGCGATGGCCCCGAGCGCCGGGCCCGCTCCGCCGCCCCCCGCCCGGGCACGGGCACTGCCGCCTCATGCTGCCAACATGGCTGCCCGAGCCGGGCCGAGCCGAGCCGAGCCGAGCCGAGCCGGGCCGGGCCCAGCGCGCCGGGAGCCCTCTGCCGCACTCCGCACCGCCTCCCGGGCCAGCGCCCGCCGCCCCCGCCCCATCCGGCCGCAAAGGGGACAAGGGCGGCGGAACGCGGCACAGCGGGCGGCATCCCGCCGACGGGAAAGCCGGGGAGCGGCCGCCCGGGGAAAAAGGAAGGAGGGAGAGGAAGGGAAGGAAGAAAGGGAAGCGAGGGGAGGGAGGGAGGGAAGCGTCCCGGGGGACGAGGAGATGGCATCGGGCAGATGGCAAGGCCGAGCGGGGCCCCACGCCCTTGCGCCGCTGCCCTGACAGCTCCAGGGTATCCAGTGCTATGCATCCATCCATCCATCCATCCATCCGTCTGTCCGTCCGTCCATCCACCCCGCTCCCGGCCCCAGCCCTCCGCGGGGCCTCACAGATGCGCACGGCAGCATCGCCGCCTCCCCCTCCGCATTACGGCATCAGCCCCTCACCCCCGCCCCGCTCCGGCCCCCGCCAGCGCGGAGCCCCTCAGCGCAGAGCCCTCAGCGCGGCCCCCTCAGCGGAGCCCTCAGCGCGGCCCCCTCAGCGCGGCGCCCTCAGCGCGGCCCTCACAGCGCGGCCCTCACAGCGCGGCCCGCTCACCTGGCGCGGGGTGTCCGCGGGACCCGGGCGGTGCGGCGTCAGCAGCCGGCGGGGCAGCGCAGCGACAAAAACCCGGCCATCCCCATCGCCGCCTCCACCGAGGCCTGGAGACCCCCCCGCTGCCGGGAACGGAGCGGGAAGGGCGAGGGAGGGAACGGAGGGAGGGGAGAAGGGGAGGGAGGAGAGCGAGGCCGGCCGGGAGGAACGGGCGCCGCGCTCGCCCCAGCGCCGCTCCCGCACTGCCGGAGCGCGGGGGGAGCGCCCGCCCCGCGGGGGGAGCGCCCCGCTCCGCCAATCGCCGCGCGCCGCCCCGCCCCCTCGGCACAGTCCGCCAATGGCGCTCCGCGGAGCCCGCGTGCGCCCGCCTCCGCCCTGTCAATCACGGCCGGCCGCGCCGCCAGCGCCGCCTGGC